TAGTGATGTGCGGTGTGTACGAGTCTATCACAGAGTTCCGTAGTGATGAGCGGTGTGTATGAGTCTTTCACAGAGCTCTGTAGTGATGTGTGGTGTGTACGAGTCTATCACAGAGCTCTGTAGTGATGTGCGGTGTGTACGAGTCTATCATAGAGCTCCGTAGTGATGTGTGTCGTGTACGAGTCTATCACAGAGCTCCGTAGTGATGTGTGTTGTGTACGAGTCTATCATAGAGCTCCGTAGTGATGTGCGGTGTGTACGAGTCTATCATAGAGCTCCGTAGTGATGTGTGTTGTGTACGAGTCTATCACAGAGCTCCGTAGTGATGTGTGTTGTGTACGAGTCTATCACAGAGCTCCGTAGTGATGTGCAGTGTGTACGAGTCTATCACAGTGCTCCGTAGTGATGTGCGGTGTGTACGACTCTATCACAGAGCTCAGTAGTGATGTGCGGTGTGTACGAGTCTATCACAGAGTTCCGTAGTGATGAGCGGTGTGTATGAGTCTATCACAGAGCTCTGTAGTGATGTGTGGTGTGTACGAGTCTATCACAGAGCTCCGTAATGATGTGTGTTGTGTACGAGTCTATCACAGAGCTCCGTAGTGATGTGTGTTGTGTACGAGTCTATCATTGAGCTCCGTAGTGATGTGCGGTGTGTACGAGTCTATCATAGAGCTCCGTAGTGATGTGTGGTGTGTACGAGTCTATCACAGAGCTCCGTAGTGATGTGTGTTGTGTACGAGTCTATCACAGAGCTCCGTAGTGATGTGCAGTGTGTACGAGTCTATCACAGTGCTCCGTAGTGATGTGCAGTGTGTACGACTCTATCACAGAGCTCAGTAGTGATGTGCGGTGTGTACGAGTCTATCACAGAGCTCCGTAGTGATGTGTGGTTTGTACAAGTCTATCACAGAGCTCCATAGTGATGTGTGGTGTGTACGAGTCTATCACAGAGCTCCATAGTGATGTGCGGTGTGTACGAGTCTATCACAGAGCTCCGTAGTGATGTGCGGTGTGTACTAATCTATCACAGAGCTCCCTAGTGATGTGCGGTGTGTACGAGTCTATCACAGAGCTCCGTAGTGATGTGTGGTGTGTACGAGTCTATCACAGAGCTCTGTGGTGTGTACGAGTCTATCACAGAGCTCCGTAGTGATGTGCGGTGTGTATAAGTTTATCACAGAGCTCCGTAGTGATGTGTATGAGTTTATCACAGAGCTCCGTAGTGATGCGTAAGATTTTATAACTAATAAGTAGTAGACTGGAAGTGCAGAAAGGTATTCTTAAAGCACTGGCATCCAAGTTGACTCTAAAAATCCCTTTTCCTTTCTGTTGTTCCCAATTGGCACAATTGTTGTCATCTTCTGAACAATGCACTCTGTAACAGAACTCGCTATTAGTAGGTAATGGAAGCATTTCTCGGTAAGATCTGCCAAACAAGAACCTGCTTGACCATTTTAAGTTGAACATTTAATATCATGCAAATTAGTAACGTGTTATACATATTATGTGTTCTGTTTCTTGTTGACATGTTCATGTGTTTTGTCATGTCGTGTGTTTATTGTCCTCATTCAGCTAGTGAAGATTATGAATGACATCATACAAGATAACGGTCAGCTATCAACCGTTAAGTCTTTTGCTAAAAGAAATGCCTACTGTGATGTAATTCTTGATGGCCTATTGGAACGACAAGAGCAGAGACCTGGTGGAGAAACATGGAATATGTAAGACAATTTTGTTTAATTTCATAATAGAATTTGGGACTTGGAACACATTGGAATTATTTCTTGTAAAATGTCTTAAATTTTTCATCAACATTGGAATGGTAGAAATATAGTTAAAGTGGCTTGACACTTTGCAGGATTTATTTTCAAATGAATCCTTTTTCCCCGTTTGTCCCTGTTTTTTTTTTTTTACATTACTTTTTTAGTTTTACATAAGAAAAAGTAAAATTTTTCTTAAGAGGAGCATGATGTTTGGCAAATTTAAGCAATAGACAGAGCACAGTTTGGCTAGGAGAGGACCTATAAAAAAAACATCTACCTGTCATTGATGAGTATCTGTTCTATGGGTGGGGGGTTGCGGGGGGAATCTAAACATAACAATATCTGTTTTGTAACTCCACCTTTACAAAACTCCACCTTTTGTAACTCCACCTTTAGTCATTAGTAAGCTTTGGCCCAAGTAAGGACTAACTATTAATATGTAATGTGAGTCATTAACATATTTTGACTCAAGAAGAAATTTTCCATAGCATATTTCATATACTTTGTTGATACAGCTTTGCTTCAGAAGGGTTTAAGCTAAAACAACATCACTCTTTTTGCTACATTTCTGCTCTAGACTTTTTTTCTACAATACTTTGATAAAAGGAGGAAGAGACATTTATGGGGTCACTCTATGTTTCTAAGCATCATAATCACAACAGCTCATTGTTCTAGATACGGTCCACAGATTCTTTGGACATTGCCTCCGTTTATAACTGCATAGACAAAGCAATGCAACGTCTAGATCATGAGGGTCCATGGTCCTCCTCGCAAAGTGAAATTAGGAAAACAAGTGGAACCTCTGATAGCAAAAAAAATATTTGTGGGGTTAGGGGTGATGCAGGGTCAAGCAGACCACACACGTCTGTTGTTAAAAAAACATAAACACAAAAACCTAAATATAAATTAGCAAACATAAATGAATGTATATTTTCATTATTCATGAATTTTCATGTACAACACAAAAACAATACTCTATTATATGTATACAACATATTTTAGAAAATGCTTTTAATGAATGCTTCATCTTTCAATTTCCACAGCCCTTACAAAGTCAGCTTCACTTAAACATCTGTGGAGATTAATGACTCCTAATTACAACAGAGAATACAATATTTTAACATGTCCTGATTTTGATTGCGCAAGGCAAATACGAGATTAAAATATTAATAAGCTTTTGTTTCTCTGGGCTAGGTGGTCCCTGAATTAATGAGGTTAAAAAAATGAGAGAGAAACTCAAAAATATGTTCGATTTCCAAACTCAAATTAATATTCAGCTAGCCTCTCCCCGCATCCTTCACCGCTTTATCCAATTACACATAATCCACAATTCCGCCCAGGCATGGACCGCTCACGATTCAACACCTTACATAACACCCAATACCTTACCCTCGAGAAGGTACTAGACAAACAAGGCATCGAACCAATTGGGGAGATCCTGACCTCCTGAACCCCATCCATGATACAAACCTTCTGCTACTCCCAGCTCCAAATATTTTTACAAACAAACACACGGCTGCCACAGGGGATCAGGGATCACACCCTTTTTGAAACAATGTGCTACAGACACACCTCCACCACTAAACTAATCTCTAGATTCTAGCAGATCATTCTCAAAGACACTACCCCAACACATCCTCGCTACATAGACCAATGGGCAGAGGACCTCAACATCACATTCACAGAGGCAGATATCAAGCAGATTTTTGACAACATGATCCACGAAAAAAACTCCAACCAGATTACACAAATTATTCCCACACACACAGGTCACCTGCTGTAGATGCAATCACCCAGCCGGAAACACTGGCCACATATGGTGGTTATGCACAAAGATAAACTCCTACTGGAACAACTTATTCACTTAATCCCCCAAAGTTGCCCTTTTTTTCCTCTCACCCTCCATACCATGCATACTACGCAGATTACTATGCCACCTACTCACTGTAGCGAATGCACTAAACCCCATAAACTGGAGACACCACAATCCCTTGACAATCAGAAAATGGATAGCTTAAACGGAGTCCTACAGTCATGGAAGAAATACACTCAACTCGCACACATTCATACCCAGCCTACATTCGCATCTGGAAACCTTAGCTTGACTTTATGGCCAAATCACCCTGACATACTACAACCAAACACAATGCATATCCAAATTTGCCCAAGTCACACACCATTAATCTACTTCTCTGTGATACTTGGCTCTTGAGCTTATTATGATTATGTACCTAAACTTGTCACGCTTCTACATGCCATGTTGCTATACCTACAAATAATAATGTTCTATGTACCATATCTTTATTCATGCAATTGGACATGGTCTGTGCACCATGCCTATAAATGCTAAACTTGTATTGCCTTTTATTACACAATAAAATCTATATTAAAAAAAAAAATGATATTCAGCTAATGCGACATTATAGACTAATTAGATATTCAATGCCAGGATTTGACCTTCACATTTATGTTATGAGATTCTATATGAGAATATATATGAGATTATGTATATACAAAGACAATGTATTCCTACTTACGGTAATTTTCTGTTCCTGGTCGTAGGCCATGGCAACACAACAGTGTAACTCCCTAATTAGATAGAAACCTAATTAAAGACAAATGTATAAATACTCCCTCCTACCCCTTCCACCCTCAGTCTTGTTTCCTGCAATATTACAGGGTGAGATCTTTGAACTGCTATGTTCTATGACCAATGTTTTAAAATAGCATGGATAGATATTATCTATTATTACATATTACATAGATCTTATGGAGCATAATAGGTTTATCGGTACAAAAACTAGTACATAAACGTGAACGCCATAGTGTGCGGTTTACATTGAACTAACTGTAAATAGGATTACATCCGCATGTGAGCTAACTGTATGATATGTACAGATAGTTAGCATTCATGTAACTGGCGTATATGCGTAAAAAAAAGAGAGACAACTATTAGGTGTCTAGAGTGTAACGAGATTTTAAACAAAAGATAAAATAAGATGAAAAATTAATAACAGAGGGAGAATATGAAGTGAGAAACAAACCCCACGGCAATAATTTCATCTTTAATTGGTAGAGACAGTGGCATACCTACCACCCCTGCGACCCTGGGCTGCCTTGATGCCGCCCCCTCAGTGCTCACCATGTCATAGGGGGGCCCAAGAGGTGGCCCACAGGCCACCTAATAGACCCCCCCGGTGGACGGCAGAGTTCCTGTCAGGCGCATCGAGGGAACTGTGTTCTCTCTGCTCTGCTCCCTCGCACGCTGCTTGCTTATGCCGAGAGGCAGAATATGACGTCATCAGTAGACAACCTGTGAGGGAGCAGAGCAGAGAGAACACAGTTCCCTCGATGCGCCTGACAGGAACTCTGCCGCCCACCGCACTGAAGCCCCATTGGACCCCAGGGACAGATCCACGCCAGCTCTACAGGTACACAGGTACTCCCTCGCCACTAACCAAGGGGTCCGCGCCAGGAGAGGGGGGGGATTAGATTAGTAGAGTGCCAATGCGTGCCAATGCATGCCAATGCGTGCCCTCGACTGGGGCATCTAAAGTGATGACTAAGGTGTGTGGGCTGGGTCCCCATTGAACCATATGGTGTTCTTTGTCTGAAGGACCCAGTAATAGGTAGCTTAATAACAACAAAACCTATGTATATAGCATAAATTCGATCAAACTAAGAATAAACTAGGCTTTTTTTGTGGGCAGGTAAGGGAAAGCACTTCCAGGTCCTGGTAGACCTAGGTAAGAGAAAGGTGATGGCAGTTGCTTAATTAGTCAGGTCATGCAGGTGGTGGAAGTGCCACGAAGTGTGTGAACAATCCATGTTAGTTGTAGGATGCCTGAGGGTCCCCAGCGATTAGAGATTCCAGCAGTTTGTAGTTGGGATGTGAAAGGTGCCATGGACCTGTGGCCATTGCAGCGTCACCCTGGATAGGTCTTGGTAGAATGAGAATGGAAAGTCCTCAAATTGTATGGGTGCTTTGTCATGCAGGGATGACATAATGCGAGTTCAGTCAGCAAAGGAGGTGCATCTTAGGTTTACGTCTCGTGGAGTGGAGGTGGTAGTTTTGGAACTCCCTGGGACTCTGTAAACCCCATCAAGTGTCATCTTCTTGGCTATGGCAGGTGGTAAAATAGAGGTCAGTAGCCTCAGGGTGTAGTGAGGCAGTTCGTCCGAAGTGATCGTCGTAGGTATGCCGTGGATTTTTACATGATTGCGGCAGTGACGGTCTTTAAGTGTAGTTGATTGCATGAGTATGGAGTGCTGGTTAGCTTGAAGCTGGTGGACCGAGCAGCTGAGTGAAGCAAACACAGTCTGCACATTCAGGACAGGCCTTGTGTGGCCTGTACCCGGTTTGTCACTGCCTGGATCTCTTTCTAAACCAGAGCTCTGTCTGCTGCCATCATTTTGCGGAGGTCGGCAAACAGGACCCCGAGGTCATCTTTCGTTGCCTTACCTGTGAGCTCCTGGGGATACTGTATACCAACATTGGGTATTTGAGAGGGCCCAGGTCGTGGGACCTCCTGTGCGTGCTGCGTTGTGGCCATACCTTCTTGTTCCCCCGCCGGGGTTGATTTAGCCTGCGTGGACTTTTGGAGCATGACCCCTATGTCCCTTCCCTCTGTCTTTTGAGACCACTGCCCATGTTCCTGGAACCCTCCGCAGAGGCAGGAGGTGAGTATCGGGCAGCCCCATGTCCATTATGTTCCAGGGAGCTGCCCAGGAGGGACTCTAGAGAGAAGCGTGGCAGCTGAAGGTAGGCCGCAGACTTGAATTTAAGAGTTGGTCACCCGGTGGGGTATCAGAAAGGCATCAGTTGGATCAAGAAATCACCCAGGGTGTGATGGTGGAGCATTCAACTGCAGCTGACTCCGTCTGGAAGCGCTTGCTGGCATTAGATGGTTAGATCTCGTCCATCTCGTCCCACTAGCAAGCTCCGCCCTCAGAGCAAACTTTATATTAAGCAATTGTGGAGAGATAGAGTTTCATAGTTAAGAGAGGTGAAAAGTTCAGAACACTTAAACCCCAGGTAAGGATCCCGTAGGGTTAACTGAGCAATGGTTAACTGAGGGATCATATAAATACAGCCGACAGATATTTAGAGGACTCCATGTCACTTTAGGAATACAGAGATGAGAAAGTGCTGAGACATGTACCTCTGATGTGATGTAGCTAAGTCCTAGTCCTAGACGAGTCCTGTTTGAGAAACTCTAGAACCTTCTTAGTAGAAGGAATTTGAATGATCTCCTAATTAGAAATAGACCAGGTACTGAGCCAAAGAGCCTGTCTATCATACACAGAGAGAGACATATTTCTGGCTAGAGTATAACACAACAAATGGAAGCTTCTTACCTGAAGACTATTTCCGGCTTAACGACTTGTAAATTGTCAACAGACAAAAGGAATATTATCTCCGATATTCTCCTTTAAATTATCCATACCAGTTTTAGGAATAATTTACTCCAGTGGCTATATTACAAGGCATAACATAGGCCTATTAATAAGTGAATCCAGCAGCTATATTAAAAGGCATAACATAGGCCTAGCAATAAGTGAATCCAGCAGCTATATTAAAAGGCATAACAGAGGCCTAGGAATAAGTGAATCCAGCGGCTATAAATATAGGCATAACATAGGCGTAGGAATAAGTGAATCCAGTGGCTATAAATATAGGCATAACATAGGCGTAGGAATAAGTGAATCCAGTGGCTATAAATATAGGCATAACATAGGCGTAGGAATAAGTGAATCCAGTGGCTATAAATATAGGCATAACATAGGCGTAGGAATAAGTGAATCCAGTGGCTATAAATATGGGCATAACATAGGCCCAGGAATAAGTGAGTCCAGCGGCTATATTACAAGGCACAGAGACCTAGTAATAGAAAGATAGAGAGTTAAAATTAGCATCTTACGATTTAGATGAAATCAGTGAAGGGCAGAAGGGGATATATATATATCTATCCAGGAAGCTGCACTCACCTGAACATCTGATCGTGCAAATAATATAGGGTATTGCTGGGGCAATTCATACAACATACAGGAAAACATATAGTCCAAAAATAATGGGGGTTTAGTTAAATTATATTGTAACCGTGGCTGGTTCCCTTATTTCCCACTATAATGTCTTAAAGCATAGAACTTAGTAGGGCTAACCATACAGATATCTTAGCCATAATTTTATATAGTTAGTAAGAGATCCTCTATTTAACATATATAAATAATTGAGAATACAATATAAAATAAGGATTGTCTTGGAAGCAAGATTGTCTTTTGGATATTTATTATATAAAAATATAAAATCCATTATAGCAGAGTTTATAAGATTAAATTACATGCTTGCAAATATCATTAATAGCCTTCTGAACATGTCATCATGTCAGCCTCTCTGTCATTTTAAGATGGAGCAGCGTCTGTCTCCAAGTCTCTCCTCTGTGTCTTAACATTTAAAAGTACACCTATTTATACCTTAGGTGTCTCCATTTTAGGGATACCGTAGTTCATTTACTTTATTCATTTTAGGACCTCCCTTAATTTGGCAAACATACAAGGCCATAACAGAAGGGTGCATACTTCATGGAAATTTTCCTGACTTAGTTCAAGATTGCATCTTTAAGTCTGAATAGCTTATCTGTTGTTTATAATAAGTCGTAAGTGTACAGTCGTGGGAGATTCCCGGATTTGGGGAAGTTCCATTAACTTGGGGTTACCACAGTATATTGTGTACTGCAAGTGTCATAGTATATCCTTGAAGCTTGTTTATGCATTATTGTTATTGTAATTCGTCTGGGACAAAATGGCGCAAACATATTATGCACTGAGGTTATTGCTTAAAGAAACATCTATGAAAAACATTATGTTCCATTTATAACACCTTGTCAGTTTGCAATATCTCTAAAAGACAAAGTACACAGTTTAAGAAATACAATATTTCATTCTAAAACTTGTAATATTTGCATTTGCCCATAACAATATGACCATATATTGCATAAGCCTGCCACAACGTAAATGTACCCCATTCCTGGCAGGTCCTACTCTAGCACCCAATATCTGCTTTTATTGATTAACCCACTTACTTGGGAAATGCTTCCTCCTGGGGCTAACTAAATGTTTTTTTAACATGCAATACTTGTTTATATAAATAATAGTGATGAAAGAATTAAATACTTTTTTTTCATTTGCAAAAAATAGTGTCTGTAAGTGTAAAACGTATGAATCAATTGTGGAGCGCTTAATAGTTACATGCAGTTGTTCTTACCCCTAAAAAATTGTTTAAAAAAAAAATGGAATTAAAAACAACATATAGTCCAATGCCAAGCTATTGGACTATCAGGACTGTGCTAAGTGCACTTTATATTTATTTTGTTGTTTTTAATTGTATTTGTTTTAAAGCAAGTTATAATAAATACTTACCTACAGCACAGTTTTGTCATCTGTCTTTGCCAAGTTCCAGATCACTATTTGTGGAGTATCACCCCACAAATTAATACCAATGTAAGGACTGTCGGAGGGGTGAGGTGTGAGAGGACCGACTAGAGAGGAAAATCAGTCTGGCGGTGGCATTCATTACAGACTGTAGCGGGGCAATACGGCTTTTACGAAGACCAAATAGGAGAGGGTTACAGTAATCCATGCTGGAAATTACAAAAGCATGGACAAGCTCCTTGGTAGCATCTTGTGTAAGACAATAGGGCTCTAGGCAAGGTGAGAGTCTTTCATACAAATTTCATTACATTGAGGAATTATTGTGTTGATATACTATTACCTTCTATGTGTATTTCTGTTTATCTTGGAGAGTAGTCAATGTTGAAAGAAGGTAGTGCTACCTGATAAAAACACTACTGTGCAATTATTGAGCCTAATACAGGCTCTAATCAATGTGAGTTTCATTACCAGAGCACTGTTTTCTGTTCTTGTTTTACATGTTTAGGACAATATCCAGACTCCCACTGGTTTTTAAGGGTAAGAACTGCGGCATGTAACTATTAAACTCTTCACAATTGATTTATATATTTTACATACAACCAGACACTGTTTTTTTGCATATAATTAAAGGTGAGGGACAAGAAGTATTCCTTCACATGTGTTTCAGGGCTAGAAGCGCTAACACACTCACGTTTTGGAGTCTTTGTATTTTTCTTGATTTCCCTTTAATTCTAAGGCTATAGAAAGCTTTTCTACATGCAGTGGTACATGAACTTCTCTCTTGCCCATTATACCACAAAAGTTCCTGATCATTTTAAGATGAGCAATTTGCTCTTTAACCATAATCGTACACAATCAACCACTTAGATCGGTTACATTCAAAGAAACACTTGTTTTTGCGGCTCTATATTTAA